TAGAGACGCAGGTATAGCTACAGGGGCCGGGCAGCCTGGACAGCCGAGGGCAGAGAACTCAGGGATCCTCAGGGAAAGGCGGCGAGGGCGGCCCCACGTTACCACAAGCGCCTGGGGAGCCTCGCCGACCCTGCCTGCTCTCTCTGAAATGTTTCTCCTGGGGAACACATCTTACTTCCACTCCCAATGAGTTGTGATTTATAAAACGCCCTCCCCAAGAGGGATGGAAAGGCAGCAACAGAAATTTACACAAAGGTGTAAATGAGTACCCGCAAGCCCCCTTCCCCAAACCAGGACTAGTGAAGAGTTTCAGGAAACTGAAAGGAGGCTGGGGAGGGGACGGGAGGAGGACCCTCCAAAGCAGGAAGAGTGGGCCTAGGCCAAATCACCGCCCATTTTGAAGCTGCAGCCCTCAAAATGAGCAGAGGGGAAACTGGGTGAATGTCCGTTCTCATCATTGGCATGGAAGATGCAGATACATTCATGTGTCATCACAGTTTTTGAGTCCCTCTCAGCTGGGTGCTGAGTCAGGGTCCGAAGACACTGTGTGGCTTCCAAGGCCATTGCAGCCAAAATAGAGAAATGAACTGTGAACACAGGTCCTGGGAGGGGTGGAACTGAGAGCCCAGACCCGAAGGGCAAATCCTGAAAGTGGGGACAGCCCCTCTTCCTCCTGGGTCACCCGGGGCAGGCGGAAGTGCAACGCGCCATGTGGCGGGGAGCGGAACCGCTGCTAACACGCACGCTGTGGGAGCAGCAGCCTGGGACCCTCCCTGACGGCCCCTTGCCCCTCCGCAGCGCTCCCTTCCCGGTGCAGTCGCCGTGGCGGGCGCTGCCCTTCTAAGCTGTTATCGTGTGGCAGCTGAGGGGGCCCTTCACTCCCCACATGTCGAGAAGTCACCCTCTTGCTTAAAATACTTCGTAAAGTAGAGGTGAAACCTATTGTTCAAGCCTGGACATTTTTGAGAATAACGGTGGAGGGTTAATAACTGCAGTGGAAGAACAGCCCAGAATCGTCCCTGTGGTTTGCAGGGCTCCAGTCTGGGGCCTTGGCCCTGCGGCGGCCCTCTCCCATGGCCACAGCCTCGACCTGCAGGTGTCCCTCCATCTGCCCTGCCCCCGAGGCTTGGCGCATGCAGGTGCCCCTTTACCTGCCTGCCTCCTCTGGCTGCCTCTGATTCCCGAGCACAAGAGGAGCCAGGCTGCTTGCTGCGCGGTCCCCCTCCTGCCACCCTCAGCACACTCTGTTGTTCCTTCTGGACACAGAGGCAGTGCCCAGTCTACAGCACACGGCTGTCAGCATTTGCTGAGTGGGTGGAGGAACCTCACTAGATGCTGCCTGCAGAAAAGGAAAAGTTCGTAGCGCCAAGTGCGCTGGGAGCTTCAGCAAACCAGCGCAGCTGGATGGGGCTTTCAGGCTCCGACATTCTCTGATTTTTGAAAGACAGCCATCCAGTGGAGAAAAATGCAGTCTAAAGCCACGTGCACTCCTGGCCTCTTTTCCCAGCTGCGAGCAGCATCAGGGCCCATCCAGGGCATGGTCCTGAGACCCGCTTCTGAAGAGGCAGGTGTGGGCAGGAAAAGCGCAGGGGCCAGGGGTCCTGGGGGCAAAACAAGTAAGTGGGAATTGAAGAGCATCTGGGGGAGCAGATGCGGCCTCCAGAGCTGGTCTCCGCAGAGCCTTTGCACAGGTTCTCCAGGTGGTGGCCCGCCTGGGCAGACCCAGCCCTGCACAAGGGTGGGCAGCTCAGCGACGGCCTGTGGCGGGAGCACCAGCCCCACTCGCCCTCTGCCCAGCTACCCCAGCCAGTGAGCCCCGGGACGTGGGAGCAGAGTGCGCCAGAAACAGTGGGGCCTGTGCTCTGAGTCAGGGTTCCGCACAGAGCCCCCCTTTCCGCTCCTGGACCCCCCCACCCCACCCCGTCTCTGTGCACCGGCTGCAGGAGTGAAGCCCTTTCTTTACAGCGGGAGTGGCAGCTCCTCGGGGCCTTATGTCATAGCCGTGCTATTTCCTTTTATTATAAATAGGAATTTCACTCAAAGGGGCACAGCCTAATACCCCTGGCTGCTTTGTACTTTAATCAGAGCTTTCCTGCCGAAAATGTTTATCTTCCAGCAAAGAGGTGCTAATTTTATCTTGCAAAAGTGGGTATCTGCTTACGTCCCTCCTACCTTAGAGAAAGATAACCAACAGCGCATTATGTCATCTAAATACAGCATCCTTGGAGATCAAAGCGTAATGTACACATCTGCCAAGGTGATGGAGCGGCCATTGGCGGGCTCTTCCGCCGGCTGCGTGCGCGTCATTGATAGACGCGCTTGGCCGTTTCTCTGAGAGAAACTCCCAAGCACTCTGTTTTTGCCCGCTGATTTGGGTGATACTGGGAGGTTTTGAAATGAGACTCCAAAATAGACATGCCCTTCTCACCCCTCTGTGCAAGCCCTCAGGACAGGAAGTGGCACCAGTTCAAGTTTTCATAGTGGAAGCAGCACGGGACCAGATAAGCAGGGCGTCCCTTACAGGGACATTTTCATGTTTAAAATATCGTCGGAATGAGTGACCCAGAGCCAGAGCCCACCTGAGTGTCCGTCCTGTCCGCGTGACTCGGGTCCTGGTTGTAATTCTGCTCCAGTGTTCTTCACTTCCTTGGGCCCCAGTTTTAAGAGGACACATCCTAGCCCCCACGCACACACACACACAAACACACACACATCCCCCCCGAAACGAGTGTTCACAAAATGAGCTGTAGGCTCACGGCATGCGCTGCACTGGCATGTTTTGTCTGTTCTGGTCTAGCTGGGCACCTCAGCCTCTGCTTCCCAAGTGTGGTCCACAGACCAGCAGCGCCAGCAGCCCTGGAGAGCCAGAAGCACAGACCCCCGAGCCCGCCCCAGGTCTGCACAAGGACGTCGTTTGAGGAGCACTGGTCTAGTCTATTTCATTTTTTGAAGTTTTAAAACTTTTAATAATTTGGTTGCAACTCTCTAAACGGACTCACCACTCATTCCTGCCTCATGATCTGAGGTTTAATAAACCTCCTTCAGGACTCTGGAGCCAGGATTCCGAGGGCTTCGAGCAGCTCTGCTGTGAGAAGAAATTAATGTTTGCCTACAACTTGGCCCTTGGGAGACACTTTCCGCAGACCCCTCTGAGGCTCTGGACCAGAAAGGGATTATCTCAGACCCGTACCCTCTCCCCAGTCCCTGCCCTCAACGGCTCCCTCCTCCTCCACCTTCTCCTCCTGGGAGATTCCTCCTCCCACACCCCCCAGAGGTCCCCAGTAGCTCAGAGAGATGAAGGTTTCCCATTCGACGTGGTTTTACAAGCTTTGTTGCAAGTTGGAACTGAAGTACCCGCCCTCTGAAGGGTTTGCAAAGAGTCCTAAAGGTTAGGAGGAGCTGCATTGGTTGGGGGGGGGGCGCTGACACAGGCCAGGAGCCTGGCCACTTGGCTCACTGACCTTGTGACCTCCCTGAAAGCCTTTCTTCTCCCTGTGACCTCATCGCTAAGGGCTCTCTTAGTGCCTTTGGATTCAGGACGGTCCCTGGGGCAAGGCTGCCTGGGGGTGACGTGGAATTAAAGCAAATGAGAGGGAAGTATCAGCTGTCGTGGAAAAAGGCTGACCCTCCCCTCCTGGAATGAGAGGTGAGAATAAAACTTAAATGCCTAGAACATCTTCAGACACCCTCACAAGAAGGGCGATTGTCTCCCTCCGCTCAAGATGGATTCAGAAGATGCAATGAAGTTGTAAATGTATAGACCGCTGGAAATTGAGAAGCATATTGGACCTGCCAGGCTGGAACAGCAGGACAGCTGGTTTCCCTTACACGGTGTTTAAATATACTGTAAAGCGTGTGCCACCTCATACACTTTTTTACCTTTTTCAAAAGTTCAAAAATCTCTATCTTGGAAAAGAGACAAAAAGCACAAAGAAACAACAAAAATCACCTGTAATCTCTTTATGGAGAGAAAATTACTTACCAGTTTTCTGGAGATCCTCGAGACATTTTCCATGATTTACACAGACATAAATTTGTGTACACAGAAGAGTTGCCGCCTTGTGGTCTTCGTAAACATAGATGGCATAAAACCGAACACATTCCAGAACTCCCTTTTTTTCCCCAACAGTGTCGTAGAAATCTTTTTTTTTAAATTGAAGTATAGTTGATTTACAGTATTAATTTCAGGTGTACAGCCTAGTGAGTATTTTTACAGATCACACTCTATTAAAAGTTATAACAGGATGAAGGTTATAATTCCCTGCGCTGTGCGATATACCTTGTTGCTTTTCTATTTAATATACACAGGAGTTTGTATCTTTTAATTCCGTGTCCCTCATTGTCCCCTCCCCCTTTCCTCTTCCCAGAGATCACCACTAGTTTGTTCTCTGTAGCTGTGAGTCTGTTGCAGTTTTGCATGTGTAACCATTTACATATTCATTTTGTGTATATGTATTTACATATCGTTTGCATGTATCTACACATATTTGCATATACATTGTGTATTTTTTTTATGTTCCATGTAAAGATTTTTCCATGTCCCCAGTGATTATCGATCTTATTGTTTAAGCCAGGGCTCAGTTTTCCATATGGAAATACCACAGTTTGCTTTCCCATGTCCCTACTGAGAGTCACGCAAGCTACTTCCTGTGTCTTATTATAATAAAACTGTTTGCCGTGAATATCCTTGGACCTACCTCTCTGTGCACATGTGGGTATTTCTTCTCCAGAAATGATTTCTGAAAGTACAGTGTCTGGGTTGTCACGTTTGTAGGTTTCCAGTTTGCACAGATACTGTCGGGTGCTTCCATAAACAAGGTATCCACGTGGGGACGAGCGGTGGCTAGGCTTGCCCCGTCCCCTCCCGAGGCTGGCCGGGACCGTCTCTGCACTATGACTAATGTATGGAGGAACAGCAGTACCCTGTTACTTTAATTGGCCTTTGCGCGCTGATGCGTTCGCACACCTTTTCACGTCTGGTATGTGTGTTCCACTTCCAGGTTCCGCCTCCCACTATCCTTTGAACGGTTCTGCCTGGATGAGCAGGTGAGTGTTCATCTTTTTTAACTCAATTTTTAAGAACGTGTTAAATATTTTGGATGTTGGTCGTTTCTGTGTTTTATAGTCGGCGAGGACTTTTTCCCAGTTGGTCACTTGAATTTTCACTCCTTCTCTGGTGTTGACTGTTATGCAGGTTTTGGACGTAGTTTGCATTTGCATTTATATGTTTAAGAAAATGTTCAAAGTCTTCTAAACTTTTCCTAATAGTTTTATGGTTTAAGTTTTCTGCTTTTGCTCTTTTGCCAATTGTCTCAACACTGTTTATTGACTGGTTGTGCCTTTTCCCGACATACTGAAGTATCTGTGTCATGTGAGACATCCTCACGTGACCGTGCGTCTCCTGCTGGACCCTCTGTTTTGTGCTATTGGTCTATTTGCTTTATTTCCAAATGTTGAAGAATTTTTTTCAAATACTTTCATGTTAATAATTTGCCAGTTTAGTTTCACTGTGGTCAAAGAATACACTTTGTAAGATTTCAGTCTTTTTAAATTTATTGAGACTTGTTTTATGACCTAAAACAGTGTAAGGGAAGGTTTTTCTGTAAAGGGCCAGATTGCAAACATTTTAGGGTTTGCAAGCCTGGTAATATCTCTCTTGCATATTCTTTATTGTTTTGTCTAGTTTTATTTATTTTTTGCAGCCCTTTAAAAATATAAAAACCACGTTTAGGTCATGGGCTATACAAACACAGGTCATGGTCTAGACTGCTGGTCTACCTTGGTTGATACTCCATGTGCCCAGGGAAGGCTGTGTGCTCTGCCGTTGCTGGGTAGCACATTCTACCGACGTTGTTTAGGTCAAGTTGGTTTGTAATGTTCAAGTTTTCTGTGTCTGCCATGATTGGTTTTGTTTGCTTGTTTTATCAACTACTGAAAGAGGAGTATTGGAATTTCCTGCTGTACTTATGGATTATGGATTGAACTCTTTCTCCTTTTTGCACTGTCAGTTTTTATTTCCTGCATTTGAAAGTTTCAAAACGTCATCACTTGGCCTCGTGAATAATGATTACACTGAATTGGTTCATGGAATGAATAACTAAAATATAATTGATGTATTTCTTATTGGCAATTCTAGCAGGAACTTCTTTAGATTCTGAGTTGTGAAAAAGCATTCTGTGGTTTGCAATTCTTCCCGAAACCAGGCGTGAGGACGTTTTCATTGGTCCTCAGTTTTCTCATGTGGAAAAATGGGAATAATCAGGCTTATTGGAAAGATTAAATGGGATGATGGGTGTAGAGCTGATTGCGAGCAGATGCTCAGTGTGTTTTGGTGTTAGGGTTAGAGTCCACACTAGGGTTAGCATTCCTTCCTAAGGCGATGGAGGCAGATATGAGAAAGCTTTTGCTAGGATGTGGCTGCAGTTGCCTGGGAAGGATGAGGAACAATCTGGGAGCAACAGCTAGCCAGACTCCAACCACACTACATGGACTGTATTCTGATTTCCACCAACTCTCCAAATATCCTCCATCCCACTCCCTCTGACAACAACAAGAGATGCCACACTCTCCAAAATGTTACATCCTAGGCTGTGTCGTGAATGTGAATAGTTATGAGAATGGCAGTAAAACTAGAGTGTCAGATGGGAGGGACGTGGATGGTGGAATCAACAGACTTGAGCACAATTTCTGATTCAGTGCTTTCTGGGTGTATCAGTTACCTCTTGACATGAGAGTGCTGTGTAACAAATACAAAATCTCAGCAGGTGGGCATTGCTTGTGTGTCTGGGCTGAGCTGGGGGTCAGACGGGCAGCTCTGCTGATCTGGCTGGGTTCGTAATGTGTCTGGGATAGGCAGCGGGGTGGATCTAGGCTGGCTGCCCCTGGGATGCCCACCCAGCTGCACTTGTGTCTCATCTCTAGCAGGCCAGCCTGGGCATGTCCTTGCAGCTGGGGCATAGACACAAGAGAGCATGACCCAGTGTGGGAGCCCGCATCAAACCTCTCCTTCCCACATGCTGACTGACAGCCATTGGCCGAAGCAAGTCACGTGGCCCAAGTCAGGGGTGGAGCACACAGAGGGAGAGCTCTTCACAGATACAGGGCAAAAGTGAAAGTACAGGAAGGAGAGAAGAACTGGCACCATTGACACCACTACCACCCCAAGTCTGTGATTTCTCAGAGCCGCCTTGTTCTGCTGTGACTGGGGGACGTCTTCTACCTTGTAATACTGGTGAGAGGTGAAGATTAGAGAGTGTGTCCAAAGCAGAAAGCATGGCACCTGCCACCAAGGAGATGCCGAGTTAGTGACAGCCCTTCCTTTACTGATGACAATGATTGAGGATGGTAACTGGTCTCACATTCAACACCCAGGGGCCTAACTGCATGTATTCTTCATGTCTAAAGAAAACATTTTGTATTTCTTGCAGTCTGATGCTTGGTCTTTCATTTTTAAGGGTATTTTTAAAGAGCAAATGTTTTTAAGTTTGAGTGTTACCACGTTTTTCATTAGTGCGTTTTTCTAACATGTCTGAGAAATCTTTGCCTGCCCCAAGTTTGTGAAGATAAATGTTTTATGTTTTCTTTCAGAAGTTTTATAGTTTTAGCCCCTGCATGTAGATCTTTGGTGGATTTACAATTAATTTTTGTACATGGTGTGAGGTAGGGGTCAGAGTTCATTTTTTTCCCAACCTGACTATCTAGTTGCTCTTTACCAGCCTGAGGAAGTTCCTTTCTTGTTCTTATTGGCTGAGTGTTGAATTGTGTCAAATGTTTTTCCCACATCACATCACACACTGAAATACTAACAAACATGAACTTCAGAATTATAGATTGATAATAGTCAGGAGGACTGTGAGATAGATTGATAATAGTCAGTAGGACTATGACTTGGGAATGGAAGGAGAACACAATCCTTTTGGGGGATTTATCACCTCAATTGCTAGAGATACGTGACAGGCAGCCACATGCAAACTCCTCTTCCTCTCCTGCACAGATCATCATGCTTCCAGCCTCCCTTACAGCGAGCAGAGAGCACATGATCCAGTTTGGGGCCAATGAGCCATAAGAGCAAGTATGCTGTAAGACTGCTGGAAAAGAAGCTTTCTGCCTGGTGAAAAGAGAGAGGTCATTTGTCCATTACCTGCCTTTGGAGGAAGTTATGTGAGGATATGATGCTTAAGGGGACACTTGCCACCTTGTGACTATGCTTGAAAGGTCAGGAGAACTTCAGAGATGCTGAATGTTACTGCGAAACAGCACCATGGGGTGCTGAAGCTAGACTTCTTACTTCTAGAGATAATGTATTTCATTACTATGTGTGCCACATTAGTTGGTATTCTATTACCCATAAACCGTATAAGATCCTCCTCCAACCCCTAAACCCCAGCCCAGCCTTGAATGAACCCTTTCTAGAGCGAAGATTCGTCATCCAGTTTTCTCCACACATGGAAATCGGAGAAGGGGCTGGCTGCGTACGGCGCAGAGTCATGAGGTGGGACCTACAGGGCACAGGGCACAGGGGAGAGGCTGCCAAGCCTGGAAGCCACAAGTGTGGGTTCTCACACTGCCGGCCAGCCCAGCACCTCTAGGCTCCTTCATCCTCTCCGTGTTCTGTGCTCCTTCCTGTGTTAGCGCCTGCCTTCTGCCTGAAATGCCCCCCTCGACCTCCACCTTTTCCTTTGTCTGACTGTTCCCACCTCAGGTCTCAGTTTAAAGATTGCTTCCTTGGGGTTGGGGGTTGGGGTCCTTCCAGAACCTCCCTTCTCTCTCAGCACCCTGAATTTTTCTTCATAGCAATGATCCCAACTGAAATTAAGTATGTGATTTGCTGTAATTTGTCTCCTGCACTGGACTGTAAGCTCCCTGGGGATGGGGATCAGCCCTGCTTGTTGGGGCCCCATGCTCAGCACCTAGGACAGTGCCTGACACATCAGAAGCGTTGAGCACATATCTCTGATTGACTGAATGGCTGATCGATGGGTGGATGGATGGATGGATGGACGGATTGGTGGACCAAATGAATGGCACTCCCACCAACTTGCTGTATGACCTTAGGCAAGTCCCTTCCACTTCCTCAGCTGTAGTTTCTCATCTGCACATAAAGAGTCTGAAGTAGGTGGAATCTAAGAGTCCTTCCACCGCCAACTCTTTGTCAGATTAAGTCCAGATGCTCGGATGTGGCTTTCTTTTTAAAATTGGCCCTTCCTCCATCTAGCCATTTACTTTACCACTGCTGGCGACCCTGCAATTGTCCCAGAAGCGCATTCCATATAAGCACCCCGGGGAGAGCAGCTGGAGCCAGTCACCTCGACTACCCCGAGATGCTGGTGCAGTGGCTTCCAGACGCGGGAAGGCTGCAGTTTTTCGTGGTTTCTCCAAAATGCCAGGTCCCTGGTTCCTTTGTCCTGTGATGGGAAGGCAGGCATTTGGGTGGGTTGGCAGTAGCTGTTGGAGGAGCTGTACCTATATTTGCCTTCATCCCAGCACATCTGTTCCTTATCACACACATGGCAAATAGGGAGTGTCCGCTTTTCAGATGAAAGAGCTGAACCAGCGCCATTCCCTGCAAGCCCCAGAGTGGGCGTTCACATCCGTGCAGGGGCGCCGCAGGGGCTCAGTCCTGAGCACCTCGTGGTACGTGGGAAGCTGCCCTAGAAACCCGCAGCATCTACATTTGCACCTTAAATTTCCTTATCATAACCCACACTAGACGCAAAGGCTAAGGAAAGTCCTATCCCTTTTACCTTTTCTTGCTCGTCCACGACCCCTCCTCTGGCAGGAATCTTGGAAAGAGGTGACCGTGGGCTGAGCCCCGCTGCGCCAGGAGCAGGACCGGGGCCATTCCATGCTTTGTCTCTAATCCTCTCCACAGTTCCTGGCTGTGCATTCTCACCCCCATTTGACAGATGGAAAAACTGAGGGCCAGAGGCAAGCTCAGACCCGCCCGCATGGCTCTAAGTGGTGGCTCTGAGATTTGAACCCCGATCTGAACCTCTGAGGCTGTACCTGTGCTCCTCCAGGCTGCCTGCCCTATGGGGACCGAAGGC